CTATAAAAATCCTAATTAATGATCATCACTATATGACCTGCACTATGTTTGTAATTAGACCGATGATTGACACCCTAATAGTACATGGTTGAGAGTGTATATCATTAAAAGGGAATTTTAAAGAGCACGCATAGTTTTCATTTCTAACGGGCTTGTATTTTGAAAAAAACTATATTTTATTAATGCAATTCGCATCCGGGTATAGTACATAGCTGATAGTTGATCTGATGTTGTGGGGATCTTTTATCCGGTACTTGAATGTTAAACATTAAAATTTAAAAAAGTAAATTGCCCTATTGTTCGAAAAAAAAATTACAATGTAAGTACTCAAAACGTATTCATGCTCGAATGCTATAGATTTGTTATCAATTTATTTGGCATCCTGAACTGCAAGTTCTTTAATTTTCGTTTCATAATGTTATTCGATGACACACTCAAAAAGCTCTAACACTTCCACTAATTACGGTACTCAAAAAGAGTGTCCGAATACACTGGAGATTCCAGCTAGCTACAACTTTACAGACGCGGTATGCAGTCATCATGCCGTTCCTTCTCCCTCTTGTCTTGATCTTCTGAATTCGTTTTTTTTTTTTAAGGTGAGGTTATACCTCTTGTACTTTTATTAATTTTTAAGTTTGTACACTACTATACAACCTAGTTGCTTACTCATGCACCTACTATTAAATTAATTTCCGAATACAAGACTCAAACAACTTTTATCTGTGACCTAAACCCACCAGAATATTCTGTATCCCACCTACGTTTTTGTGCTTCACAACTTAACTACTTCCAATCACCCAATTGTATTTTCCCATGACCCACAATCTAACCTCGGTAATTTCCATTTTGGTTCAATTGGGTAATCAGTCCCTAAAGGTCCAAATTGGTATGTCTGCAAGTAGTTTCTTGTGTATATATCTCAAGCCAGATATTCTGCTATTATAAGATATTGGTTTTTCAGAATCAAGTAATCTTTTTTACTTATTTCAACTGGTATTTTTAACCCGTATCTCAAGCTAGAGACCTGTTGTTATTATTGGTTTGCCTTACAGAATGCTTAACATTTTTTTTTTAGTTTTTTATATGTTTATATACTTCACTATTCTTTTTGTATTCTTTTTTGCAAAATTTGTTATAAACTTATTTCAAAAACCTTGTATATATATAAGAATTTTTTTTACCTATTCCAGTTATTGGCCAATATAAACCCAGTATCATGATGTTAAGCAGTTTACTTCCAATCCTAGAATTGGTATAATATTAATATTGGTAAATCTTAATTTTTTTTGTTATAGATTTTTATATAGATATAACCAGAGCTCTGATTTGGTATATTTAATATCACAGATCATGGTGAAATCGGATCGTGAAATTTGAATCTATTTTATCTACGATTTTTAAAAATTTTTGGGCCTTTTTTGTTAGAGTTTTTTTTATAGTTAAGTTAGAATTTAGGGTTAGAGTTATTGGTAAAAGAGTATAGGTGGATTTTGGTAGGGTTTATATTTTCAAATTGAGACCCCCAAATTTCACGATGATCCGATTTCACCATGATCCGTAACATTTAATTATATAAAACCAAATTATATTCTCTATATCAAATAACATTTTATAGTTAGTTATTATATATGATTAGAGTTGCTTCTAATTCAGTTAAGGCATGATCTTTAACTATAGTTTATAGTTGTATATTATTGTTTCTCTTATTATTCTAGTTTTGTTATTGTTATATTACTTTTCTAAACAAGTACTCTATTCAAATATAGGAATGCTAGTACTATTTCTAGATTATTCCAACTAAAAGATTTATTTGCACTATTCTTTCATATAATAGAATCTTTTATAGCATTGTTGCTATATATATTTATATATATTGTCTGTATTTATAATGAGATTTTATTTTGAAAACTTTTTATTTTGATTTTGTACAATACTTGAATTTTTACAGAATTTTGTATTTGATTTTATAGCTCTATAGGCTATAAAAGTAAATTTTATTAAAATTTATCTTTAGTTTGTAGATTTTATTTGTGAAGTTTGTAAGTTTAATCACTAAGCTATAGGATCTCAACTCTCTAAATTCTTTTAAATATTTACTAATATTAGAATTTATATATAAAACAGATAATAAATTGTAAAATACATTTATATCGTAATTTTAAAGAGTCTAAAATATAAAATATATTACTATAAATATTGACAAAGCTTTTAAACTTTTATAAAAACTTATCAAGCATGTATTTTTAAATATTTTGAATAATTAAAATTATAATATATCATTTATTTATTTATTATATAAAGAAAATTACTACAAATCACTACTAGTGATTATTACTGATGATTTAAATATAATGTATAAACTTTTTAAACAAAAGTTTATTTGTTCTGATATTAGAATAAGGGTAATAGATTGATAATAAAGTTAAACAAAATCTATAATAAAATTTGCAAGAAATTTTTTTTATTAAAGCTCAAAAAGTAATTTTATAGATAAAATTTTAAGATATGATTGATTTTTTAAAAAAATTCTTTGTTTTGTTATACAAAACTGATCTGTATATTATATTTGATCTTGCAAATTGATTAGCTAATTATGTACTGGTGATGATTACCAGTGGTAATAAATAGCAAACTTTTATATTTTAAATATATAATGCTTATTTAATATTTTCTATAAGTTAAATTTTTGATTTAATTTTTTTAGTTCTTTATATAGATTTTTAATAGATTCAGATATATGTTTTTGTTTACAAACTTTCTATTCATAAATATTATTATTATTTTTTTTATTTTGACAAATCATACTAGTAATATATATTTATTCAAGCTATAGATAAACATATACTCTAAGATAGTGTCTTGATAATAAAATTTTATTTTGATATTTTGTAGCTATTTCTAACTTAATTAATTACTAAGCAAGTATTTATATATGATTTGACTACATAATAGAGTATAATCAATTAAGATAATATCTAGCTGAAACCTTATTTAATCCCTATTTTATAATAGAATACTGCTAATCTGATGATATTTTTTTATAAAAAAGTAAAAAAAATCTATAGTACAAGATAATTAAAGACTATATTTGTTCTATTTTTTAAAAATTTTATATTAAAATTTGATATTTTTTTTGATTTCTTGTATTTTGATTGGTCAAAAATTAATTAATAAAAAATATTTTAAAAATAAATTTAAAATTAGTTAATAACAAGAAGCTAAAATATATAACTTATTCTATTTTTAGTTAAATTTTTATATATTATGTCATGTACTATATATAAAAGAAATACAAAAGTATATAAAAAATAATAAAATATATAAATAAGAAAATAAAAGAGTAAAAGTAAGATGAAAAAAAATATAAATATCAGATAATCACAATTTAAAGCTTGTATTAGATTCTATAAAAATTATATACTACTATTTAAACTAGTTTAAAATCTTTTTTAGTTTTTTTTTTTTTTTAAGGTAAGGTTTTGCTTTTATCTTTATTTAATAATTTGTATTGAGAATCTACTAGGGTTTCTCTAGTCAATAAGATCAATGATTACAAATATTTTTACAAGAATGAGACTTAGACTATAGATATTTAACTATCTAATTTATCTGCAACCTAAACCTACTAGAGTGGTTAAAAACTCACCTAGATTCTATAATTAATAATATTGTTAGTGGGTATACTATAATTTATCTAAGAAGTTAACTATATATATACTTTTTTAGATGCTTTCCCAAGGGGTAGACAGTTATTATCTATATGTTGTTAATTAGATAAACCACAATTATAGCTATAGGTATATAGTATTCTTAACTGTGAGTTATTAAATATGGGTGTTATACTTTGTTTGGTTTGATTTCTGTTTATATAAGTAGATATACTGTATTCTTGCTTCTAGCTTGATAGCTTTGCACAATATAGTTTCTAGACTAAATCATATATATTTTGAGATAGTTGTAAAAGTAGTTTAATAGTGATAGTATTTGTTGCTATTTTGTTAGAGTCTGTGTATTCTCTAATAGTTTGTATAAGTATAATAGGTATGAAATCTTGTAAAATTGTAAATGTATTTGTGTTAGTTCTGGTGTAGTAGTTAAATAATAAACTTAAATAATTAATAAGTTTTTTCTGTAGTTCTTGGTATTGTGTGTTAGATATATCAAGCCTAAAGGCTTGCAAAAATTGTTGTATTGTATTAATAATGATTGTATTTAGATCAGGTGTACTTGGGCATATAAGTCAATGTATTTGATTTTTGTGAGAATTATATAAAATGCAGTTAATGTCTAGGAAGTATTGGGTATAGAGTATGTAAATTTGATAGTGTAGGTAGTATATTAAACATAAGTTTGATTTTGAAAGTTTTTTCTTGACAGAGTTTAAAATTGGTATAAAAGGATGATTTTTTGTGATTATTATTTAAGTAAAGCCAGGTGGTATTCCAATCAATTTGTGTTACAAAGGGTATAATGTTTTCTATTTGATGTTGAGAGAACTATAGCACTATTATATAGCTATTACAGATATTTTTAATAGATCTACAGGTGGGTGACAAAAATATTTCCACATCTAAGGACTTGGCTTATAACTCAAAA